TCCGAAAAAAGTATTGTAAAACGTATAAAAAAAAATCATTAATAAATTGTGTAATGATCTACAAACTCGGGGCACTCGGGACGTTCCTACCTCGAGAGCGTCAGTAATTGGGCCGGAATTAGATCAGCGATAGTGAGCTGCGAGTGGATTAATTAAGAAATGAGGTTCCTGTATGTAGAGATGGGATGGATATAGACTAATTAAGGGTGGTTATGAACTTATTTATGTATGTACGATGTATAATGCTAACGGGGTAATGTAATAAAGTTAAATATAGTAAGTAACATAGTGTCTTTAATTATTACAATGTTAATAATAATGCGGGGTACTAATTAAGTAAGTTTTAACAATAAGGCCAAGCACGGGGCACAAAATAATAATAAAACAAGTAAATTAATAAGATCGTGAACGTAGGTTTACAATAATTAATCCTAGATAATGCCGTGAAGATGTATTTGCGATGATTTATCTAAGGTAACTGGGTGAGAATTCGATAATTTTAAGTAGGGTTATTCAAATATATAAGAGATCGAAGTCTGGAGGAACTTTATTAAAGGTCAAAATCGAGTCTTTAAATACACGAATTCGGATACATAAATTATTAGACTACACTATTGTCGGGTTATCCTTCCATCCGTTGTTTGCCTTACACTTTCCATAAAACCCTTCCATCTATCTTTTCTTTAAGAATATGACTTTGTTTTCCCCACTTATTATGCAGCATTCTGATAATAAGTAAACGCCCTTTGATTATTAAAGATCATTGAAGATATCGGGCGACTATTTTCCCGTTCTAAGTTTGTCGATTTATATATACCACGGGCAATTACTGGAACCAATAAACCAACGATGGAAACAATTCTAAGAAAAAGATTCTACTTGGATAACGACCTTAATAATAAACGACTTCGTATCTTCAAGTTATGTATGAAAGACTAAATATAGTAATAGAAGTAGAATATGGCTTTTTTCAGCGGTGCTGTATTGTATAAATAAATTTGGAGGGTGTACTATAAGAATCACTTAATATAGTTACGTAGAAAGTACTATTTTAGTTTAGTGACTTATATTTCTAGTTAGCAGTATTGACAACTAACCAATAAAAGGTTTTCTACCTTACTAAATTACTGGTAAGTGGTTGTTATAGTACACCCTCCAAATTTATTTATACAATACAGCACCGCTGAAGAAAGCCTATGTATACAGAGTACAAAATAGGAAATGGATAATCTAATAATATGCTTACTAAAATAAGAAGAAAAGGAAAAGAAAAACTAAGTAGCACGGTTAACGGTCCACAACGGATAATCAACATACGGCAAGGCGCAGAAAAATTTTCACATGACGATAGTAACACCGGCACAAATAAGTAAAGCCGTATTTTCTGACACTCTAATCGTATCATGTGAAATTTAGCGATAACTGATAAGAAATAAATGGATCTACGTATTAAATAAGGTTACGATAATTCATTTCTTATATATTCAATTTAATAAACTCAATCGCAAAAGCTTTTACGATAATCGTTCTCGACTCTGATATAATACAGAATATCTTTTTACATTTTAATTTTGCATATAAAATTTAACTACAGGTTGATACTTTTAGGATAAAAAACTGGTTTAACTCATTCAAATATTTACATTTTGGTCTTTTGTCAAAATGTACAAGTGTAAGCAAAAAACAAATTTTTAGATAATTTATCGAGCGATTGGCGTCAATCGATCAGCAAATTGAGAATATCTTGACTTGAATGCTATGTTCGATCGTGCTGCCTGTTAAAAATAATTAATCTGAGCAAGATCACAAACATATATACATGGTCAAATAAATATTTGGATTTACCTCAGCATATTCTAATAAGCCTTGTAGCTCTGCCTCAGTACGTGCTACTTCTTGATATTTTTCAAGACATTGCAGTGCTTCCTCTAAATTTCCTCTGGCAAGCAATATCTCACTCATGATCGTGTTAGCGATATCACTCTCAGGCTCAACTATATGTGTAAAAAGTTCCATTGATTAAAACATAAACTATTTAGCATATCTCACTATATTCTACGTACTTTCCAGCGCTTTACGGCAGTGATCTTCCGCCAAATTCGAATCACCCTTCACATGGAGATAAAGCATTGCCTTATTAACTAATGGTAAGGCAAAATTTCCAGTTTGTAATTCATTGGCTTTGTCAAATTGCTCAATAGCTTCATCAATACGTCGTTGGTCCGCAAGAAGTTCTCCGTAATAGTTGTGCATTTCGGCAGATTTGGGAAATTTTTGCAGTCCCAGCTGGAAAGTTTTCATTCCATCCTCAACCGATCCACTTTTATATTGAGCTATAGCAAGCTGAATGTATGCGAATATAAAATCCGGATCTAGCTCAATTCTGCGCTGATAATCTTTGACGGCCATATCAAAGTTATTATGAAGAAAGTGGATTTGACCTCTGAACATTTCACATCGAAGTGTGTATAAATATAAATTATGTATTTCATTAAAGCGTGTTAAAAATATTAAACAAACCTGTGATAATATATGTCAGGATCTTTTGGATCTATTCTGATAGCTTTATCAAATTCTTTCCATGCTTCATCTATATCACCTAGTTATAAATTTCATAAAATGACATGAATTATTAGAGCTGTGCATATATTAGCCATATTCATTCTTAATATTATCAATAATTTTGTTTTCTATCCTATCCTCGTCACATTGAAATATATACCACTTTACATATTATAATTTCGGTATCATAAATACCTTGCTCCGTATAAATGGTAGCCCGCTTTACATAAAGTTGAACATAATCGGGTTTTAAGTCGAGAGCTTTTTGGAAATCCGCCAAAGCACTCCGTGAATCACCCATTAAATTAGTGAAGGTACCTCTCAAATTGAGAGCCTTGGCCATCTTAGTACATCCAAGATTTATAGCTTTTCCGTTTGCATTCATGGCTTCTTCATACCGTTGTTGTCTTAAGAACCGTTCTGCTGCGTCAAATAAATTGTCTGCATGATTTTCTGAATCTAGATCAGAAACTTGAACGGAGTTGATATTTTCTGGTTCACTATTGGCTTCAGCGTTTTGATCAACAGGTTCTGTGGTCGAATACTAAAATATTGAATTGATATCAGGAAAAACCGAAAAGTCACCGGATATATTCATACCTTTCCGGAATGAATCTAGATATGATGAAATGAACTTTGTCGATGGTAGGCGTTTTTTCCGGTTCTTTGTTTTATTTTTATATAATAATTAATATAAAATAAATAAATAAATAAGTAAATAATAAATAAATAAACAAAAAGACAAGGCAATAAATCATTATAAGTGGTTTATTTATTACCTTGATAATTTCTTTGGCTTTGATGCTAGCCACTTTTTTCAAGAGACGATCAATCGAAGCGGCAGCATTTTCATTTTTGAACTCTCCAATAATGCAGGCCGCAGTGAAATCTAAATTATATTTTTAGTACGATCATGTGTTATTAATCTTTAACAAAGATATAGCAATAATACCATGCAATGATTCTTCATAACGTGCAGTTTGTTCATATGCCATCGCACGCCTATTTAAAGCTTTAACATAACAAGGATCCATCTCCAACGCGCTATTACAATCATCTATAACCCTTAAATATTCATTTATGTTATAATAACATGCAGCCCGATTGCTATAAAAAATAGGGTCGTCTTGATTAAAGGCAATCGCTTGGGTATAGAGTTTTATAGCCTTCTGATAATTCTTTTGTCCAAATGCGATGTTCCCTCGATCTTTAAGTAATTTCGAAGCCGTGACACGCTTCTGCAAAAAGAAATATTTAGACAAATATATTCGATAATTTGATTTAGATAAATTATATTAAAACACCTCTCTGGGTAATGCAGTGATTTGTTCAGTAGAATATTTTTCGAATTCTTCGACTTCGGCATCCTCCTCTCTATTCCTGATTCCCTTGTCCCTCGCTGAAATATATTAATAAATAATTCGCATAATCTTAGACAAATTGTGAATAACAAGCATGCACCAAAAGTGAATCAGGCTCTGTACTTTCTGTCTGTTTTGAAAGTTTAGTTTTTTTCGACCGATTTGACTGCTTATGTGTTCTTGATTTTGGAGGTTTTGGAGTCCAAAAGAAATATAGACCAATTCCAGCCAGTATCACTGTAGCAGACGCAACAACATAAAATTTATAGTCTTTGCTTGCCAGATAATTCTTAATTGTTTTAATGAGTGTTATGTTTGATTCCTGAATTTCTTGATTAGACGCGACATTGGATGACGATACGTCCGACATTCTAAAGCGAGTAAGAAATCAAATATCGTTAAAAAATGTTACAGATTTATGAATTTATGGTGGTACAATTTAGTTTAGCATTTAACACGTGATTTAACAAAATTGATAACAATAAGACAATAATAAGTTTATATTTATTTCTTGAAAATCAATATACACTGTATTGTGTTTAAAAGAAATATATAGAATAATATAATAATGGCATGGTATATTAAACTAGCTGAAAACGTGGAAGAATACGGACAATTTTTTTTGTTTTTTGCTGCTATCAGAAAAAAAGAAAAAAAAAAAAGAAAAAAAAAGAAAAAAAAAAAAGGAAAAAAAGTATTTGATCGTGACAATTCCCCGCCTAATCTATATAAATATTTACAGCAACTATCGAAAAAAGTATAGCAGACATAAAGTAATCTAAAAAAATATGTCACACATTTAATAAAGCGATGTTACAAAGAAGTTTAATTAGAATATATCTGAGATAGTAATAACCAATATTATTTATTATCCATGATACAAATTACCATACATTAAGTAATGAAGTGGTTTCTCAGACAAAAATGCCGTTCACAATTCAGGTGATTTATTGTGAACTATTTCCTTTTCTTGAATAGATACACCTTGATTGTTGGCAGCAGGTGAAGATCCATTTGTAATGACATCCTCCGACACATGCTTATCATCTTCGTTTGCCATTGGAAGAGCCTCGGCTTTTTCAAGTTCCATAGCAGATGAAGTGCTTTCTGGTTTAATTTTATTATTTTCAACATGATCTAGCTCTTCATTCTTAACATCAATTTCTTGTTCATCTGGTAAAGGTTGGTTAATTTCTTCATGTTTAACAGCTCCGTGCTGCGGCGAATTGCCTTCAAGTTGTGCGGCCATCTTGGGAGATGCATCTTCGTCCGTACCTTCTTGGGTGGGTGCCTCCAATAAAAACTTCCACTTTTTAATTAATTCATCGCTTCGATCCTTGATATTATATGGGTCGGGCTCGATTTTCAAATCAGCGATTTTTCTCATAAGTTTTCCAATTTTACTTTCCTATAAAATAATTCGAAAATTACTTCGTTCAAACGAATATATACGAGTAAAAATTAAATTCTTCACAAATGATATACCTTCAACAAAGGAATAGTAATAGGGAAATTTTCCACTTCAGTAAATACTTCATCAATCTTTCCCATATCGTGTAACTATTTAAGGAATAAATTAGCAAATATAAATGAGAAATAGTAGAATAAATAATAATAATAATAATAATAATAATAATAATAATAATAATAATAATAATAATAATAATAATAATAATAATA